TCTAACAGTAAGCACAGTACCTGAGTACCTAATAAGTGCTAAACAAAAGTCCGATGAATGAAAGAGGAAAATGAGTGAATGGAGAAATTTAGAAGTGATAGCCTGTTGGGCTGGGGTTGAGGCAAGATACAAGTATTGGGAAGGTTGTGATAAATCAGACAAAGATATTATTTTAGCAGGATCTTTTTTACTGGACTCCTCCCCACCAGAACCCTTCTAGGGTCTTGAGTACTGAGCTCTTGAGTGGAAACGTGGTAACAACTGGCTGCTGCTACATGACTTTGGAAAGCTCTGTTTCTGTAGTTTCCATTTTATTATTTTTTTAAAAAAAGTGGCTGAATCTAATCAGAAGCTGAGTTGCTTGCTAGTCTAAGCTAAGGCTGGGGGATTAGTCACACATGACTAAGTGAAGAAATGGGCTGGAGAGACACAGGCATGATGAATACAAGCATCAAGAAAAGTCTTACTGGAGATGGGTACAAGAGATTGTATCATACTTTTGGTATGTGTGAAATTTTCCATATACAACAAATGAAGAAAAAGTTTTGTTTTGTTTTGTTTCTGAGCAGCAAGGCCTATGAATAGAAGTTAGAGCTACAGCAGCAAAATATGTTGAATTTGGGAATTAGGTCTGTGCTATAGCAGTACCAAGAAGAATGCCCCATGGAGACACACTGGTATCTGGAGGTGCCCCTGACATCTCTTCTATGGACTCTTGTGCCTTTGAATGCAGTCTTCATTGGTATTTGGAACTTCAGGCTTGTTAGGGTAGATCCTGCTTTTCCTCGCCAATACGTTTTTCACCTTCCATCCCCTGTAGCTTTGGCAACCATGGACATTGACAGTGATAGAATCTTGGGGCAAGTTGGGGGCTCAAGTGGGAGGCTTGGTAACTTCTCAGTTGGATGAGAATTTTTGCTGATTTCAGCAGGATCATTTTCATTAGGCCATCCCCTCTAGGGCCCTTCTAGTGTCTTGAGAACTGAGCTTTTGATTAGAACCTTGGTAACAACTGGATACTGCTATATGACTTTAGAAAACTGACCCAGCCTCTGTTGTCTCCATCTCATGCTTTTCAAAATAAAGTATCTGAATGTGATCAGATATTTCAAAGGCAGGCCTCTACTCATCAACATTTTACTATTCTTTGTTGCCAAGCACAGATTTGGTCTGAAAATTCTTCTCAATGTAGTATGACAACTGGTAATATCTGGCTTCTCTTCCATTTTAGTCAGGACTTATTACCTAACTTATTTTGGAGGGATTTGTGCATTCATGTGTAGTGCCACACAAATAGCATACTAATTATTTCATCCAAAATACTGGCTCAATTGCATATTAGGCTAATAAATGTAATAACTTAGTTTCTGAGTTCTTTTTAAATAAGCATGTTAAAATACTAAATGCCCACATTCTAATTTCTTGTATATTTTAGGTTAACCTCTGGTCACAAATTCAGGTGACTGAAATTAGATTATCTTCTCCATATAACTTTAGATCATAGCTGATTATATTTTTGTTGATCACATTCAAAAATGAATTCATATAATGTAGTCTCCCAGTTATCTATTTATATATTTATTAAATGAATGTGGAGTCCTCTTGTTGCATCCTCTCATATCCTGGGTAAATAAAAAGTTGAATTAGACGAAGACCTTGCCCTCTGGGAGCTTTCAATTGAGTATGGAAAATAAGGAAATATGAATACTTAAAAATGAGGCAAGATATGATAAATAACAAAATTGAAACATATGAAATGTTTGAGAGTTTAGGAAATAAGAAAATATCTCTCACTGGTAAAAGTGTATATAAAATTTAAACATAAAAAATCTATTAGAAGCTCTTTTTTCCAGCTGATATAAGAACTGGCTTCCACAAATGATGACCAATATCCTACCATTATCCAAAAACAGTGATTTGATAGTCTATACCAAACCTGGATATGTTCTACTGACTTTTCTGTTGTTGTTCATAAACTCAAAGAGAAAAACTGTGTGAATGACCTATTTTGCAAGGTTACTTGCTACAGCTTGAATTTTATGGGAGCTGGCATTAGATTACAGAGTAAGCCATATAGCTGAGAAGCAGTTAAATGTGGTACATCTGTCCTGGCCTCTAATAGACATGCACTGATGAAAGTGGTGGGCATTTGGAGGGGGAGTATCTGTGCTCTTTCTGAAAGTGAAAGAATTAGTGGAAGATTTAGTTTATAGTCTATAGTACACATTAAAACTTCTTCCACTGTAGTATTAAAAAAATTGACACTAGTTCTATCTTTTAAATGAAGAAATATACATGCAAAGAGCTGAAGTGTATTTCTTAAGTAGCCACTTTTACTTCCTAAATCTTGGATCAGAGAGCACAATTCCTGGTTTTCCAAGCTACCACAAAGTTGTAATTTCTACTATTAATTAGTTCTGTTTTTATTTCCATTAACTTAAACTATCACAATCCCCCACAATCAACTGACCCAAAATTTTCAGACTGCAGCAAAACTTATCATACAATTGTTGATCAATTCACATTGTGAAATAGCTGGTAAGTTTTGCAAGGGTTGCAAGCATTGTACCAAAGCTAAGCCTGTTGTTTTTTATTTGTGCTGTCTTCCCTACCTGGAAAACTTTGATTATGGGGCATTTCAAAGGGGCTGCACATCAGGACAGTTAAAGAGGGTTAAATGACTGTGATTACCTGAAGATTGTTTAGATGCAACTCTAAATGCACACTATATGCAATGAACAAAATAAGGCTTAATTAGCTTGCTGGAAGACTGCTTTTATTTTCACTGTTTTTTAAAAAGTAGGGGGTGGGAAGCACCACATTAGCAATGTTTTGAAAAGTATTTTATCTATATATTTAATTTCTTGTGACACAGTATCAATATGCTCCCTTTAAAGTAAAAAAAGAAAATTATTGCCAATAACTTAGTTTCATGTATTGAGATAGATATCACATCTAGTTTCTATATGCCTGTGAAATACACTCCCAAATCTACACACAAAAGATATAATTTTATAAATGTAGATGCACCTAAGTAGATATAAAAAGGAGGGAGATTTACAATTACAAAAATACACAGCCGGAAAGCCTCTTTTATCAGAGATAACATAGAATTCTATAGAATGCCCCAATGCCTACTTTCTGCACCTGCACCCAATAGACTGAGCAAGAAAATGCAAATGAACAGAAGGAGGAGTATTGAATATGACAAAAAAGAAGTGTAGAAAATGCCTGATTTCATGCCTGCCTTCTAAATAACTCTGAAGTTTTAATTTATTTTCTTAACATATTGAACAACAGTGACATTTCTAACAAAGCACATATAACTGGGCCAGAGTAAAAATAAATTAGTGTGCATAAAAGGAAGAGGAGGCCAATGTGTTCTTAGTCTCTTGACATTATCTGCCACTGTCCAATTCCCTGTTCTTTCTCTCCTTTCCTTTGTTTCAACTTAATTTTATCCAGTTCAAGTACTTATGGAATTCATGCTATGTGCCAAACACTAGACTTGGTACAAGAATTCCAGAAACAAATAAGATGATGCCCATGCTGCCAAAGAACTCAAAGCTGGAGGAGAAGAGCTGCACTTACCTCACTGTACCATAGTTTACAACAACAAAAGTGAATCCGAAAAGGATGGGGAAATAGAAAGTAAAGATGGCTGTTAGCGTAACAAGGGTTCAGGGATAAAAGGTACTCAGCTGGAAGAATAAAGGAGGAAACAGCATTTTAGAAAGGTGTCAAGTGGAGAGAGAATCCAAGTTTCCAAGGGAAATGTAAGTAGTCCAGTGAGATTATAATGTAGATTTTAAGGTAATAAATACCAAATTATAAGCAGGGAAAAAATATGGGATGCAGAAAATAAATAGAAAAAAATAATTTAAAAAGGTATTGGGCAACCATAGGTAGAAGGGAATGCTGAATGAATTACACATAAGGCTCACATAATTTTTAATGGATATTTAGGAAATTTCTAAGGATAACCAACTGAAAATAAAACTCAGGCATGGTCATCTATTCAATAATATGGACTGGTTATCACTATGTACCAATACTGTTTCTGGTCCTGGAAGAATGGAAGTGAGTAAGACAAATATGACCCCTGCTCCAGTGGGGCTTATGGTCTGGTAAGGGGAGTTGACACTAAAACTAAAGAAACAGATGACAAGGGAGTCTCAGATCATGAAGACATGATGACAAGTAAGTGGCATAAGGCAGGTGATCACTGAAGAGGATGCTTAAGGGATGCCCTTTCTGAAGAGATTTTTTTTTTTTTGCACAGAAAGTTTAGTAAAGTGAAGACATTAGATGTTGGAAGATCTGGGGTCAGAGTTTTCCAAAAGGAGACAGCATAATTGACAACACAATGAGCTTGGATTGTTGCAAGCAAAGCAAGAAAGGTAGCTGACTAAAGCAAAGCAAGCAAGGGAAAGAGTGGGAGGACAAGAAGTCAGAGAAGTTGGAATGGAACAAACTATACAGGGCTTTGCAGACATGGTAAAAAATTTGAACTTTATTCTCAGTGTAATGGAAACATTGGTTAGTTTTCATTGGAGGGGCAGTATGATCGTATGTGAATACGCCCTTTGCTTTGTTCCAATATTTGTGGCCACATTATGTGCTTAGAATCCACATCCATCATGAAGGATCTACAGACTATGTTTCATGTGTTCAAGACAGAAACATTACCTCTGTGTGACTCTCCAAAGATGACTGCTATCAATCCCTTTCCTTTCTATGTATGCATGTTGCTCCTAATGTCAAGGGATAGAGCCCCATTTCCCTCTCTTGGAATCTATGCTGATTTAGATTTCTTTAGTTTTAGTGTCAACTCCCCTTACCATTGCTTGACCAATATAGTGTGGCAGAAGTGATGGCCTGATTTTCAGATGCTAGGTCGTCAGATTTCTTACACTGTCCACTGGGTCTCTTTGGAAGCTCCTTTTTAGAATGCTCCCTCTAAAATTCCAGCTAGCTCACAATATGAAACCTAAGCTACATGGAGGAGTCACATATAGGACACCTCAGTGGAAAGCTCCAGCTGAGCTCCCAGCATCAGCTGCCAGCCATGGCTGGACTGGAGAAACATCAAGTCCAGTCAAGATTTGAGATGACTCTAGTCCCAGCCGACATTTGACTACAATTTTGCAAGACTTCCCAAGTAAGAACTTCTCAGGTGAGCCCATCAGTTTATGAAACATGAGAGATGTTAACAAATAATTGTTTTAAGGGGTGGTTTACAATACAATAGTAGTTAGTAGTTGATCAGAATGGTCTCTTTCACTAAGAGTTCACAATCTATTCCAACCTCTCTCCAGACGCCAAATTTGGAACTCCAGGCATCATTGGTTCCTCACTCTCTGTTTTTGTTTGTTTGTTTTTGTTTTTTCTTCTTGGTTTTTCCTAAATTTCAGAGGTTTTCTTGTGAACTAGAAGCAGGTTGTTTCTTCACATACTTTTGGCTTAAATTCAGGAATAGGTCAACCATCCAGTTCCAGATGTCCCAGAGCTGAGCTCAATGATCTCTCATAACAGCCATGAGGAACACCTGATCCTGAATTCTCTTCCACGGGGCATTCAGCTAATGCCTCCCTGCCTCTTCTTGCAGTTTCAAGCATCTTCATTTACGCATTTCGTTTTTATTGTTAATTGAATGATGTTCATCTTTTTTGGCAGGCAGTTGGTGACTGCATTTTTAGGTCACCATGATTCCACAAATGTGTATATTTTATCCAGGTTAGTTCGATACTCATGAATGTAAACACAGGACAGTTCATTGATTAATTGATCATCACAGAGTGAGATTTCTTCTTTTTAAACATACAAAGACAACTGAGGTCTGATTATGTCATTTGCTATCACATATTAACTTGGCAATAGTTTATAATTAGTATTTGTATATTACTTACTGCTTAAGTAACTGGTAACAAAAACTGTGTCCTTTAACCTTATTTTGAATCAACAAGTCAATGAGCTTATAGATAAACATGGTTATAAATGTAGCTCTTTCCACATCCATAAACATGGATAAAGGCAGGATTATGTAGAACAGAGAGAAATAAAACCCCTGACTTCACACATTAAGATCTTTTTAGAAAAAAAAAAAAGGAAAAAATAGAGCAGATATCCTGTGGAACTTTCATGCCCTTCCATTCTTGGAGGTAAAAGGCTAAAGCCAATCTCAAACCATAGAAAACGTTTTGACTTGATGTTACATTGACTGAGTTTAAGTCAACAACTAGCGCCAGTCGTCTGTTGGCTCAGCAACCCTTATGGAAATTAGTCCTAATAAATTATTTTCTATGGTCTTTCTAATCTTACACAAAGTAATTCTTTATTGCCTTACTCAGTTTATTAAAAAAGGATTTTGATGGCTCTAAATAGCTATCAATTAAGTTTCTATTTCCTGTTATAAAATGTGAACATTACAATAGTCTTGAGTCACCCATGAACCCAAGGGAAAAAAATCACTTTTGTTATATGACCTCCTTTACATGGGGCATAAATGTGGCCTTTATATATTGCTAATCATAACCACAATAGGACTAATCATGTTCTGATACCAAGTTAACTTGAGGAATTAGAAGAGTTCTGTCTAAGTCTTTAAGAATCTGGATGCAACCCAGAAGTTACCCAGAGGAAGTCTTCTTTGGAGAGCTTGGTTTTGACAGAATTGAGTCTGAGGAAGGGGCCTTCTGTGATTGGTGGCACTCTGGTGTTGCTTCATACGTTGTTCTTAAGAAATATTGAAGTTTCTGTTGAATTATTTTACCTAATGATGAAAAACAGCTAAAATTAATGAATGTTGTGAATATAAATAACATCACACCATTAGTCATAAATATCTCAATAATAAAGAAGCATATTACCATTAACATTTTAAAGGATCAACAGAGCTGCTCAAGCTTCATTTTTTACAGGACAAATTTATCAGTTCAAGGTTGGCTCATATTATTGTGCCCTGTCAATTCATTTGGCTCCAAGATATGCCAACATATTTTGTTTTGAATAACTGCTAGTTTTTCCAAAGTGATCTATTTGGGAAGGAGGTGGCCAGAGGGAGAACTGAGGAAATAGAGTTAACCTAATTACAATATTGTGTTATTTTTTCTTTTAGTAATTTGTACTGGATGTCTTGAAATGTCTTTTTGTAAAGAAAATGTAGGCTTTTTCTTTATCAGGCAAAGTAAATGAAAATGCTAATTGATTTCAAATAAAATTATTTAGGTTAATTCTAATTTTTTGCTATTTGAAGGCAAAGTATTTCTATTCACATATAAATGGTGCAAGTCTGGGATCTGTGAGACTATTTAGTCAGACCACCTACATTTTATGAAGAAGGCTGGGTGGTGGGAGCCCTCACATGAAATGTAGGGACTAGTGTGTCCCCACAACATGCTGTTCTGCCTTGCTGCATGGGTGTCCCAGCCTGAAATTCCTTTCCTCTACTTGATTCTTTAGGGAAGAGCATCCTACCTTTCTGTCAGCATCTGCTCAGGGATAACCTCCTTTATGAGACCTTCCCTAATATCAATAATTTGAGGTTTTCTACCACTTAGCTTTCAGAGTCTCTATAGCATCTCTAAAAGTGGGCTCATCTGATATTATTTACATATCTTTTCCCTAATGCTATCCCCTTCTTCTGACTAAAAAATAAGGAAATAAAAAAAAAAAGTCTATGGCCTCCTTAGGGCAGAGATTATATCTTATTCTTATTTCCCTCTTTATAGCCCATGGATTTAGTACAGGCAGGTATAGATACTTCACAGTGAAAAGGCTGTTCCTAAATGGAAGCCATTTTGTAGAAGTCACATCTTCTTTCAAACATGGTTACTATGCTGGGAAATACTGAAATTTCTTACCAGTCAAACCAATAACTTGTATGATTCCCTTATCTGCCACGGTTAACCATGGTTTATAATGTCAAAAGGTTTAAATTCCCTATGGAAGGTGAAATGGTCCCTACCCAAGTGTCATCTTGAATTGTAGTTCTCATAACCCCGCATGTCATGGGATGGGGATCCAGTTGAAGGTAATTAAATCATGCTAGCAGTTACCTCCATGCTGTTCTCGTGATAGTGAGTGAGTTTTCATGAGATCTGATGGTTTTATAAGGGGCTTTTCCCCTTTTGCACTTCTCCATGCTGCCACGATGTGAAGAAGGATGTTTGCTTCTCCTTTCACCATGATTATAAGTTTCCTGTGGCCTCTAAAGACATGCTGAACTGTGAGTCAATTAAACCTCTTTCCTTTATAAATTATTCAGTCTCAGGTATGTCTTTATTAGCAGTGTGAGAATGAGTAGTACAAAAGGGATGGGGCATAAATGTATAAGAATCATCCCTCCCTAAAGTTGAGGCAATAGAGTATTTCCCAATAGATAAATAATACTTCTTAGTTCATTGATTATTGATGTACATAAACAGTGCATGCTTATTTAAAATAAGGGATAATATAGATAGGTTGTTTTTTAATGTTAGTGTGAAGATTGGTTGAAATACTTATTAAAAATGCAGATTCTCATTCATCAGGGTTTAGTGGGGCTCAGGCATCTGCATGTTAAACAAGCATTCAATATAAATCTGATACTGGTGCCAGCCAACTGTACTTGAAGACACACTGTCTTCAAGTACTGGTCTTCACTACACACACAGTGCAAGCGCAGTGGAAGCCACAGAAAAAAAAGGGCGACTTGAATTATCCAGCCAGAGTCCATTAAGACCACCTAGTTATGACTATTAGGGCTTCAGAGAGACTTTCAGTTTATACATTGAAGCAAGAAATTAGCAAAATGCAATAAAACGCAACAGTAACTTATTTTCAGTTGTCTTCTAGTGCAGATGTGAGTTAGGAATGACTCGTTCTCTTGGTCTCAAAGCTATTTCTGGATTTCTTTGTGGCAAGGGACATTAGTTTCACCTCATGTGATGTGGTGCAGTGATGGGCCCAGTGATCAAAGTACCAGTGGTGCTTTGTGCTCGAGGCCTCTGACTATCATTCCTTCCGGTCAATGTTCCCAGATAGCATAGCCCAATGCAATTTCAGAACAATTTGGTCTTCTGAGCTTTTAGTGCATGCTTGACCTTGAAAGTGGCGTTAGTTGTTCCAAGTAACTGACTAACTTCATTCCTAACCAAGCGCATACTCCATGCTTTTGGGTCCGATAGACATGGATTTAAATTGCAGTTTTACCATTTACCATGTTTGAGTTTAGACAATATGCAGGGGTTCTTTAAGCCTTAGTCTTCTTGTCTCTAAAACAGAATAAACAAGAATATCTACCTCATAGGGTCACTATGAGAATTAAATGACACAATTTGTATCAAGCATTTCGGTGCAAGGTCACATGTCTTATAAGGCTGGGTCCAGGAAAGAAGTGCAAATCTTTTGATCCCAGAGCCTGAACTCACATGCCTTAGTCTCACAACACATGCTCAACTTGCTTAGATGGATAAATGTAGGCTGTCCTCATTGCTTTTCATGGTAAACAATTTTTTCATCCTGCTCCAATGGACTCTGCCTTCTGGCACCACCACACCACAGCAATGTCTCTCTAGGTAGTGAATGATGATAGTTGACTATGCTGACAGTTCATATGTCGTCAACTCTTCTATTAATTTGCAGTGTTCAAACTGTTTGAGTTTCTGTCTTGTTTGCCTAATGTGCTGAGTCATTGGGTTGGCTGGATGGCTGTGCTCCACAAATTCATTTAGATACTCAGGCTGATGGGGCATTCTTTCATCACTTGAGGCTTTCACTTGTGATCTTCATTTGGTGAGCCAAAAGAAAAAGCATCCCACGAAATGGCAGGGTGAAGGTTCTATGCACATGACATCATAATGGCACACAGCACCTCCTCTCACATCCCATTGTTAGAACATATATAATGTGAACATGTAATTGTGAAGCCAGGTAGGGGAGAAGTATGTGGACTTTTTTGAACACCTAGAAACTCTTTGCAATATTTACAGGAAAAAAAATCAAAATTATTATTAGCGTTCAGTTTTCCTAACATTAGTTCTCAGTGTACCTTTACAGCCCCTTTGGAATTACCTCTGTTCCAAAGAGGTAGTTCCCACCATGTTGATTTTTATCAGACTGTTTATTCTATTTTAAATGATCCAAATCACTTTCTTTCACCTAAAACCCTTTCAAGGAAAAGCCACTTCTTTCTCT